GTGAAACCTCTGTAAACTACTGCATATCTACTAGGTCACCTCTGTTTATGCGTATCTGCTAGGTCACCTAGAAAAGACAATAACCTATATCTGCAAAGCAGCCCCACATTCTTATAAAAAAGGTGCTATCTAGAACCTAAAGGGGTTCTTCGACTGTCTCCATAGGATAACCATTTGAAGAACACTTTTTGGTTCCAGGTAGAACCCTTTTGGTTCCAGGTAGAACTCTTTTGGGTTCCATGCAGAGCCCTTTCTACAGGGGGTTCTGCCTGGAACCAAAACGGGTTCTACCTGGGACCAAAAAGGGTTCTACCTAGAACCAAAAAGGGTTATTCTAATGGTTCTCCTATGGAGATCCTTTCGGAACTATGTTTATGAGGATCTTTACTAATTTAGAGTGTAGAGACTAGCATGCTATAGGGGGAACTATAGTGACCTATATTGATGCTCTCACTTGAATGTGATACTGGAGAGAAGTAAAGAGAGAGAGTGTGTGTTAGGGAGTAGAGTGAGACATTGATATGTGGGTCTGTGCAGAGCCTCATGTCTTTCCTTTGTTGTCTCCACTCTTTCCTTCATCCATCCTTCCATTCTCTCACCCAGCTATGTGTGTGTGTGTGTGTGTGTGTGTATGTGTGTGTGTGTGTGTGTGTGTGTGTCAGATGAAGCCAATGGAATGCTGGAATATCTGTATCCTCCTCCCCAGGGGCAGATTAGGTATTTTGTAGCATGGTGTTGGGTTGACATATCACCAGATGGTTTATGCATGAGAGTGTGTGTGTGTGGGTCGCGCACAGGTTTTGAATGAGAATTGGGTATTACCCCAGGGGTAACAAGCTGTTGTAGACTAACGTTGTACAATTAATGTATTATTTACAGTTTCCACTCAGTGTGCTTTAAATGTACTTTTGATGTTGGAGAATCAACCAAACAATACATTTTTGCCAAATGTATTTTTGTATTTCGTAATGTATTTAGTTTGAGTTTGTTGAAATGGAGGGGAATGTTGAATGAATGGTCAGTGTCTTCAGCTGCTGTGTGATTGAGTGGGGTTGGTTAAGGGTCTGGGTCTGGGTTTGGGGGCCAGGGTGTATGGGGCTAATGGGCTGAGATGGTACCCTCTTCTATGTTATGGTACTCTGGGTCTGGAGGCCTGGGGGAACAGGGTCCTGGAAGTCTGGACTATTGTAGGAGAAGGAGGGTGGGGGTAGTGCTGGGCCTGGGGACTGGGGTACTGATTCTGGTACCGGTAATGGTTTGGGGTAATGTGGTAGTGGAGGAGAGGGGGATACTGGTCTGTGTGATGTCTAAATCTCTCCTCTCTTAGGAACTTGTCTCTGGGCAGCTCTCTCTAGGCCAGCCACGCTCACACACTGAACTCTCTCTCTCTCTCTCTCTCCTCTCTCCTCTCTCCTCTCTCCTCTCCTCTCATCTCTCCTCTCTCTCGTCTCTCATCCTCTCCTCTCTCTCATCTCTCTCTCTCTCATCCTCCTCCTCTCTCTCCTCTCTCTCTCTCTCTCACACATAGGTCAGAGACGTATCAGGAATCGTGACTGGTGAGGAGAAACAGAGGGGAGAGATGTTGGCGCAGGGCGGGCCTTGGGCCCTGTCTGTCATGTCGCTGGTCCTGCTGCTGTCTCAGGAAGTGTCTGCTATCGAGGTTCCTCTCGATCGTAAGTCCATCAATCACATCGCAAACACATAGCTGGCAATGATCATGGTAAAGCAATGGTTCTCTTACCATTTAGACACCAATGAATTTAAAAAAGCATGCTACATCCCATTCTAACCCACTAGAGACACTTCACTTTGACAGATTTCAGAAGGAATTCCACATTCCATCAATGTCTTTAATATACTGTAAGATCAAGGGATCTCGAATATGTATTACTCAACACAATGATCCTGTTTTTACATCTGCAGATCTAGCTCCATATACAGTGATGTCTTTAACAATAGGTTTGGAGCTCACCATCCCTCTTCTTACACACTCACACACAGACAAACACACATGCACACACACAATACTGATAATATCTTATGGTAATAGCGCATCATTTTTAATTATTTTGTTTTAAGCCTTCCCCAAACCTTAGCCCTAACCTTAACCACTCTGAATGAATGGCTAAACTGTTAACCTTTGAGTTGTTTCTGTTTTAACCCTGTAACCACGCGGAATTAATGTGACGTTCATCCATAATACGTCGAATTTCGAAGGGAAACTATGAGATCTTGTTGCACACACGCGCACACACACACACACACACACACACACACACACACACACACACACACACACACACCCATACCAGGCCATTATAACATGTATGAAAGCTCCTGACCATAGTGTCCAATCGGACTGACTCCAGTGGGAATATGAAACAAAGAGACAAAGTGAAAGAGAAGTAGCCATTTCTCTTTCCTTTCACTCGGTTTTTGTTATAAAGGACAATAATATCTGAGAATGTCTCACAGTGGCATTATGAAAAATGATTTGATAGCAGATATGGGCACCTGCTATTCGGTGGTCAAACACACACATATGCGAGTACACACACACACGCACACCACTTATTGTCTACCTCTTTATGTGTCTCAAACACACAGGGAATGGACACACACACACACACGGCCATCAGCTGTCATCACCTCTGTAGTCTCCACCTCATCTCCCCCCTACGGCGCTGTCTTTCTCAATGTCTCTTTATACCCCACAACCTTTCACCCCTGGCCTCAGGAAGCTCTATTGATTAGTGTCAGACAGAGGACACACACAACAGGGGAAGAGAGAGAGAGAAAAGCCCCCCACAGAGTAAAATACATAATACCCTTATAACCCTTCGACCTCTCCCAAATATATTCATCACCAGTGAGAGAGAGATAAAGAGATGAGAAGAGAGAGAGAGGCAGAGAAAGAAAGACAGACAGACAGACAGACAGACAGACAGACAGACAGACAGACAGACAGACAGACAGACAGACAGACAGACAGACAGACAGACAGACAGACAGACAGACAGACAGACAGACAGACAGACAGACAGACAGACAGAGGGAAAGAGAGACAAAGAAAACCAAGAAAGAAAATCAGGCTGTGTCTGAAAACAGGTGTTTTTTCAGCCCTCGGGCCTCATTGATAAACTTTGTGTATGGACAAAATATCCCCCAAAGCATGTGTGCACCAGTTTTCATGCAAAAGTTGGCATTTATACAAACTGAACTTGACGTGAGAATGTGCTTATCCTCCCACAAACTTTAGACTGTGCGTACACACAGTTTCTGGTGGTTGAAGTATTGCATCGCAATAAGGCAAAAGTAGCCTAGTAGCCTTGTGCAAATGGGGAATATATGGTGACTTATTCATTTTTTAAAATCAGTTAGCTAAATCTAATAACAAGATGGAATAATGTTCTGTTAGTGAGAAGCGCGAAAATCTATTTATTTTATCTTCACATTCTAAAATAATTAGAAATAGGCATATATTTCCTATTATTTATTTAATTTCCATGATTGCAGAATAAATTCCTCACCTTTTCTGACTGTGATGGTTTCATAGGCTACTCGTGAAATAGCCTATAGCCCTACAACAAGTTAGGATAGGCTACCATTCGTCCCATCTCTCATTTAATTGGACCCACTTCACAGTAGTAAATAGATGAGCTATTTCAAGTATTTTGTTCTATGCATCTGATCCAAAGTGCAGTTTAACGGTAGAACAGACAGTTTACCTTTTCCATTGAAGTTTGTAGGCTACGTCTGAATACTATAATGTCACATTTATCGAGTAGACAATATTTCATTTATAAACATAATAGCCTACATATAAATTCCTCACCTTTTCTGGCCATGATGACTTCATATTCCTGAAGTAGCCATACAACAAAATACTATGAGCATCTCTCATTTAATTGGATCTACTAGATAGGCTATTATAATGTCAAGATTTTGCTCTAGCCTATGCATCCAACATGGTGCGTGGTTTGTAACTTACAGTAGAATTTATCAGGTGAAAAGACAGTTGATCTTTTGCATTGAAGTGTGTAGGCTACCACTGTAAGTAGGCCTACTGTAGTTTAAAAAAAAAACATAATCTGAGTAGACAAGTGTTTCAGAATTCACGGGCAGTGCAGCATATTTAGGTTAGGGAAAAAGTGAATGGCAAACATTATTGCATTCAAACTAACTGTTTACAGGTCTACAACAATTTGCAATTGTTTTTGTCTTTCAGAAATGGTCAGATACAGCAAATGTCACTGAAAAAGAAAAACTTCTGCCAACACCTCCAAAGACATTTTATCAAGTTCGCCATTGCTATTTCCTTTAGATACTGTCTTGGCCTAATTCGAATACTTCCAAAGTATACAGCAAATAAGGGTGTTATTGTCACCATAGAAGGTGAAAGATGGGGTTTTTTCAGGAGGAGTTACAATGCTCATTCACTCGCGCATTTTACAACAGCTCTTTTTTTCTTTTGTGTATTTTATTAGGATCCCAATTAGCTGTTGCAAAAGCAGCAGCTACTCTTCCTGGGGTCCACACAAAACATGAAACATGACATAATATAGAACATTAATAGACAAGAACAGCTCAAGGACAGAACTACATCAATGAAAACATTTTAAATATAAAAGGCACACGTAGCCTACATGTCAATACCAATACATACACACAAACTATCTAGGTCAAATAGGGGAGAGGCGTTGTGCCGTGAGGTGTTGCTTTATCTGTTTTTTGAAACCAGATTTGCTGTTCACTTGAGCAATATGATTTAAAACAGGAAACATGCGTATTTATGGCGTGCACCAAGTTGATAAATCTCAATACTTTTGTTTGTGCGCACTCACGCAGATATTTAGTGTTACATTTACTCAACGGTTATAAATGAGGACCCAGGTGATTGATAGACAACAGGGAAATATGAAATCCTCTGCTTTTCACTTCCTGCTATACAGGCACACCTGGGAGGAATGAATGGTACCATGTGTTGTGTATAGGACTGTATGTCTCGAATGTGAGGTGAGATGAATGTACCTCTGTTGTCATTCCCCATCCCCCCATTCCTCCAGCTCCCAGTGGTGACCTCTATTGATGAGGGTTGTCCTCCTTGGGTTCTTTCTCTCCACCATTCGCCTACCCCTCCCATGTGACCATGGCTATATGGCATGATTCATAGTATTATGACTAAATAAAAGATCTGGGGGGGTTGGGTGTTTTACCTGTCTATAGGCAGCCATCCCCCCATAGCCTTGGAAACACACACAGCCATCCCCCCATAGCCTTGGAAACACACACAGCCATCCCCCCATAGCCTTGGAAACACACACAGCCATCCCCCCATAGCCTTGGAAACACACACATACACTAGGACCGTCACATCAGGGGGAGGGGAGGGACTCTCAATCAAACACACAGCCTCGGACCACTATGTCAGCTATGTCAGTCATCGCCATTTACAGGGTAGTCCTAAAGAGTGCCATCAAGACAACAAAAACAGCCATTATGGAAATATATTATACATGTAAATGTCTGTTTCATGATAGATAATTCATGCAGTGGGAAATAATGAAATATATTTGTATTTTGGTTTCTCTATTGTACTACTATCACAGATTGTCCCAAATGCCTGCCCACTGGGCACAGATGTCCATTTAATGTTTATTCCACATTGGTTCAACGTAATTTAATTGAAATGTTGATTCAGCCAGTGTGTGCCCAGTGGTTGGGCTCTTCTTAGGTTGTTGTTATCTTACCATGCTGATGCTAGCAGACCTTGACGATAACATAATCTCTCTCTTTTCCTCAATCTGCTGCCCTCTCCCTGAAAACCAACCTTGTCCTCATGTGGAATCCATCAACAGGTACGTTTCATTGTGCTTATTTGTTTCAGGACATATTCACAGTCAGTGTAGTCACTCAACCCTCTGTGCTACTAGCTAATCGTATAACTAATACTAATGTACTTTAGCTACATAACATTGATATAACAGTAGATTAGCTTTTTTTGGTAGAATAACATTGCTACCACATCCATTTATTTTATGACATACTTACTCCATAACAATAGAACTGTAACTACGGTATGTGACTTTAACATTGTTTAATGCTGTAGACATGCTCTTGCTATAGGCCAATGTTTTAATGAACACTCTAACATCAGTAACAACAACTGCAACATCTATCTCTCACCCTCTCTCTCTGTCTATTTTCTCGCTCTCTCTGGGACTAACAGCAAAGATCCAGCAGGACTGTAAGTGTTTTTTTTATTAACACAGTAGGGTCATTCCATGAAATTAGTCCCTTTTGGGAAGTGTAACTAATTGTAACATTCTGTCATAATGAGCTCATGTTCAACTTAATAATACACGTTTCCCATCTCAAAAGGTTAAATAAATAAAAGACTATAGTAATTGCCTATTAAGTGCCAAATGAAGTAACAGGGTTGACCGTAACAGGGTTGACCGGAACAGGGTTGACCGGAAACAGGGTTGACAATTGTATCTTAAATTAGCCATAAATCCATTTGTAGCAGGGGCAATGGAAGCTTGTTGTGTGCAACATGGAGGTGCAATTGAATGCAAGCTTCACAACAACAACAGAAATGTGTAAAACATTAGCCTGTCTATCTATGGGTAACAGGGTTGACGCGTTATGCTCGACCCACTCAGTGTTCCACCACAAAAAAACTGAAAATGGTCAAAAAGAGTAGAACCAGCTCACCTGCTTTTACACTATGATTTGACTATTGTATGTTCAATGTTTCTTTTGAACAAAACATTTGATGAATAGTTCGATCATATTAAAACGAGAGTTCAGTTTACATAACAGGGTTGACCTTATGAGGGACAGGTTTTTTTAAACTTTAAAATTAATTATTAATCACATAAAATATCACACTCACAGAGAGTGCACAGAGGGAAATGCTGAATTGTTGCACTTTAGCAAGTCTTTTATTCATATTAAAAGTATTTTCTTCATATATATATATATACGTATATAATACAGAAAACACGAGAAATAAGAAATAAGAGAGGAAGCTATATACAGGGTCAGTGCCAGTACCACATTTACAATGTGCAGGGATACTGGAGTATTTGAGGTAGATATGTACATGTAGGCGGGGATTAGGAGAAAGTGACTGGTAGCAGGAGAAATAACAATAATAGTAAACAGTATGGCAGCAAAATAAGTGGTGTGTGTGTGTGAGAGAGAGAGAGAGTGAGTGCGTGTGTACGCACCACAAGAGTGTCAGTGTAGGCAGGTAGCCTAGCGGTTAAGAGCCGACTAGGTGAAAAATCTGTTGATGTGCCCTTGAACAAGGCACTTAACCCTAATTGCTCCTGTAAGTTGTTGTGTCGAGTAAACGTGGCTAATTATGCTGTGAAACCAAGAAGTCCGCTTATACTGTACTTTGATTATACGTTTTATTTATATCACAAGATTTCAGCATAAGTTTACAGACGTCTGCAGCATCTGGAGAACAGTGTCCCAAAATAATATGTCTGTTCTGATCTTCTTTGTCTCAAACCAGTACTTATAATCTTTACCAGGATATGGGTGGTTTCCCATACTGACCAATCACCTGTCTCCACACAACAGACTTCCTCTGTTCTATGGGGTGTCCCTCTAAAACTGCTCCTCCTAAAACTGAATAAACATCCTCTCAGGTTCCACTTTGAAAACATTAGCAAAGTCATAATCCCTCAGACACTACAAAGTCACTCTGAATAAGAGCGTCTGATAGGCGGCTATACATGTAAACAGGGCTGAGAGAGAATACCATGGCATTGTTGAATACTCGTTTCTGATTGGCTAGAGTGTGCATTATTTCCCTATAATTCAATGGCTATGTTAAATTAGATTTTCATAATAGCAAGCTAGGACTGATGGTTTGGTTAACTAAGCTAGCAAGTCTGTTTGTTTGGTTATTAAGGCAACTACTGTAGCTATCTAGTAAAGTTGCTAGCTACACTCTTAGAAAAACGGGTCCCAAAAGGGTTCTTCGACTGTCCCCTTAGGAGAACCCTTTTTGGTTCCAGGTAGAACCCTTTTTTTTTTTATTCCATGTTAGGCAGTGGCGATTTTAGCATGTACTGTACATGTACAGCGAAAGAATTCAGAACATAGGCCGTTCTTACAGCATTCTCCCTGTACACCAAGTCAGAACTGTAGGATAAATAAAGGGGGCATATAAGCAGACAATGAAAGCTCTTACAATATTCGATGATGACATTTCTCTAAAACAGGCTATAGGCACCACCAACAGCTAACAGTTTACTACACAACATACACTTAGTATTACTTTCTTAGCTACAGTATACATATCTTCCTGGCAAATTACATAATTTATGCAGCAGCATACAATACATTTTTGGACTCACCTTGTTGTGCTGTGCTCACTTGAACAGGAAGATGGCGCGGCGGTCCTTTGTGGGCAAATTTTGTCATCAAACTTTGTCATCAAAGTCTGTCATTCATTGTATTTATAGTGCTTTCAAGACAACTGGGAACTCTGAAAAAAACAAGGTTGAATCATGACATCCGTGATCTTCAGGTCGGAGCTCTAGAAAGAGGCCCGAGTTCCTGACTTGGAATTCCGAGTTGGATGACCGTTCAAAACGTATTTTGAATTCAATGTGTTTCCATCGCATTCTTTTACTCTACCGATAGTTTTGTCACAAAAACTGTTGCATTAAATAGAAAATGTGCCCACTCTGGTCTTGGCACATGCTGCGCTCTAGCCAACAGCTCCCAGATACAGTGCGAGTAGGCTTTGTGGGTAGGCTAGTCCAGGGATTCCCCCCCTACTGTAGCCTACTGTAGCAAAGTATATCAAAGCCTATACTTTTAACTTTCCAGTGCTAGGCTACTATTTTTGCCATGTAATGTTGTTACTAAAACAAAATCAGACAACCCCATAGCAGAATAGTTAACCAATTTACCAAGTCGGCTAGTTGTTTTGTGTTCTATGCGAGATAAATGCTCTCAAGGCGCATTAAAGTTGTGAGAACCATAGGAGGGAAACATGTATTCTGACCAACAGTCAATGCACAACAATTCTTAATGCAATCGCGGGAAACACTTTGAAAGCAGTTTAGGCCTTTGTTAAAAAAAAGAGGGGGATCCCAGTTTTACATTGCTACCATGTTTATTTCTCTACTCCTTCTATTGCGCTTGTGGCAGAGTTTTATAAATGCAGTTTTACAACCAGAGTTTCAAGCATGTTTTTTGTCGCAGCTGAACAACAGAGCTCTTAAAGTGGCAATTACATACTTTGTAATAGAAACACACAAAAATCTAATTTTTCGAGTGCATTAATAATTATTGATATATTCCTATTTATAATAAAATAATAAAAATGAATAATAAAAATAACAATCAGGACGTTGTGTCCAATGGGGTAAATGCAGATGGACAAAAAACCCATGATTCAGCCTATGAATTTTATAGCCACTACGCTTCATCAGTTGGGCTACAGGTGATAATGCTTATTGCTAATAGAACATCTGATAATATAGAGCAGGCATAGGCTATATGCATGGTCCAATATGTTAAAATATTTTGTACATAATTTTACCAATATGTCATTAGGCCCGTTTCTGGAGGTATATATTATATTTTAGATGGTCTCAGCATAATTTTATGCTCAGAAATTTTGGAGTAGAATGTTCTTTTAAAAAGTCACCAGAACTGAGCTTCTCAGTCCTTCTACATACAAATTCTCCCAGGGAGGACCACGCACCCCCTAAGCAAGGGGACTGGAATTGGTCAAACTCGCAGTTTAATACATGTACAAAATTATCCTCTTTCACTAAAAACATGGTGATCATAACTTTCTTACATGAAACGGGAGGTTAACTTGGCCCCAGACAATCGATCTGAGATCAACTTAAATTTCAGTCATGGGATTTTTGTTTTGCTTTAACCCCTGGAAACACAAACGGATGGATGACTACAGTTGATAGCTATTCTATGCATTTAAAGTAGTGAATAACAACAGTTGGGTAACCGCCGGCAACCCCAAAATGAGGACACAGAGAGAATAGTGATGAGCGATGGAATTCCCTCCCTATTTCCCTCTAACAGAACATTCTCTATCTTGGCAAGGGAACTTCCGTCAGACTTGGGCTACTCCCTTTAAGACTGCGGTTACTCTGGACAAGATTTATGGGGGACACACACACACACTCACACACACACACCCACACACACAAACAGTCGTTCCTCTCTCCCACCTTGGCAAGCAAGCTTCCCTTTTGACTGAGGCTATTCTGTACAGTGGCTGGGCAAACCGTTTTCTTTGAGGCTGGGCCTGATTGCTGTGTAGTGTCAGTGCTGAGGCAGAAGGAGCAGAAGGAGCCGCTAGCGCTCAGTGATCTAGAAGTGGAGCAGGGCAGAGAAACAGCGGGGAATCATCTGGCTTAAGTGGGAAATGAAATGTGCATACAAGAGTGAGCACAGCTGTGTTAGGGCCAGAGGGAGGGGATAAAACACAGAGTCAATGGAACCAAATCATCTACACCATAGCGCAATGCTCTCCTTTCCTCCTTCACTCCTCCTGGATATGGCCACAGTGTGTGTGAGTGTGAGCGTGTTGGGGGGTTGGGTGTTGTCTGCTGATGTGTGTTGTCTGGTGCAATGTCTTTTATCTCCTAACACTAAACTAACACACCTGATTCAGCTCATCAAGGTCTTATTGTTTAGTTCATTAGGGTGAACCAGGTGTGTTATATTTCTACGCTAGAACAAAAGCCTGCGCACACACACACACACACACACACACACACACACACACACTGCAGCCCTCCAGGAGCAATGTCGAAGAATACTTCCATTGAGGTTGCCTATTTTATCTGTATATTTTTAGATGTACAGCACATGCCTACCAGGGCTAGTGGTAAGTTAGAGGTTCTGAACATTCTCTCTCTCCTTTGTCTCTCTCTCTCTCTCTCTCTCTCTCTCTCTCTCTCTCTCCTTTGTCTCGCTCTCTCTCCAGTGAAGCAGCCTCCCACCATCGTGAAACAGTCGTTGAAGGACTACATTGTTGATCCCAGAGATAACATCATCATAGAGTGTGAGGCCAAGGGGAACCCTGTGCCAACGTGAGTTACACACAAAGACCTCTTCTCATCCCTCCATCCCTCTCTCTGTCCATCTATCGCCTCTCTCATCCCTCGCTCCTCCACTCAGCTTGTCATCTCTCATTTCTTGTACCCTCTCGCCTGCTTTCTCTCTCTCTCTCTCTCTCTCTCTCTCTCTCTCTCTCTGATTATATTTTTTTTTCTTTTTGTTTGTGCTTGTTTTGTTCTCTCTCCATCCTGCATGCTTTCCTACACTGTTGTTATCTCACACTCTATCCCTCCTTTTCTCCCTGCTGGAGTTGGGTGTCTCCACTTGTTCTCTCTCATTCTTTCTCGCTCTCATAGTCACACTCTCCATCTCCCTTTTTTTTTTTTTTTTGGTCACTCTTCATCTCCCTTCTCCATCCGTATCTGCCCTGGCTGTTATCCTACCATGGCCTCGTCTCTCTCTCTCTCTACCTCTCATCTCCCTCCTCTCTCACCTCTCATCTCCTCCTCTCCTCTCTCCTCTCTCATCTACTCCTGCTCTCTCTCCTCTCTCTCTCCCTCCTCTCTCTACCCCCACCCTCGACCTCCTTCTCCCTTCTCTCTCTCTCCCATCCCTCTCTCCTCTCTCTCTCCTCTCTGACAGTTATACAGGTTGACAGCCATTAGTGTGAGCATGAATAGGTCAGCACTGCTCGGCCAGGGTGCCATCCTACCCTCCACCTTGGACCCCATAAAACCCCCACCTGAAGACCTTGTCAGTATCCCACCCCATCGCCTCCACTCCTGCCCCTACCCCATACCCACCCCACACTTCTAATTCCTCACTTCTCTTCCCAAACCATCCTCTACCCCACGACCGGCCATCCAGCCATATTCCCAGCAGAACAAGTGCCCTGCTCTCTAGACCCGACAAGTCTTTCACCTCTCGCCGTCTCCTCTCGTCTACTCTTCTCCTCCACTCCTCCCCTTGTCCCTCCACACCTGGTCATGCAATCACAATATCTATGTTTGCTCCGCCTCCTTCTATCTACCCCTCTACCATCACTCCTCGACCCCGCCGCCTCAAGCCATCTCCTCTCCCCTCCCCTCTCGAAACCCCAAAAACTCCCGACTCCCCTGACCCCCTCCTCCTCCCGCTCTCCCAACTCCTCCCCCCGCACCCTACCCCTAAGCCCCTCCTCCTCGACCTCCTCCTCCCCTCTCCTCCTCCGCCTCCTCTCCACGCCCTACCTCACTCCTCTCCCCCTCCCCCCCCTCCTCCTCGCCTCCTCCTCCTCCTCCTCCTCCTCCTCCCCCACACCAACTCACCAGCAGCACACAACTGCAGAGCAGACCCACTGCCCTCCACTGTGCCTCAACCTGATATGCCAGCCTGTGTCCCCTTTAAACCATACTTCTACCTCCGCCTGCTCCCTTCACTCCCCCTCCTCTCTCATGCCATCAGATGGGCCAATACGGACCCACTTAGACACCCACACCCATGTGAAGTTACGTAACCAGGCCCTGACCAGCTGAGGACAGTGGTCTCATTGTTTGTTTCGAGGCACATTGAGGGTTTACATAACACACATTCATAACAAACACACAATACACACACATAATACACACATACAAATGCACACATACACGCACTCACTCACATGCCCGCTCTCTCTCTCTCTCTCTCACACACACACACACACACACAAACACACACACACACACACACACACACACACACACAGAAACACACACACACACACTCACACGCACACAGTACACACACCCCTCTCCCTTCATAGGAAAGTCATTGTGCTAGAATAATGTGCCCAGTTTACTATTCATGCTCATGAATCATTCAGAGAGGGATCACTCACTCATTCAGTCCCAATCAGTCCTGTTGGCTCCCATACAGCCTCCTAGAGAGACACCCATTGTCCTGCTATAGTTGTGGTTCTATGACCCTGGTCCTACAGTCTGCCACAGACAGAACTATGGGACTGGAGTCTTCTCCGTCTACTCTACTGTATGAGTAAATAACAGCGCTAGCAGTTATGGAACCAAATGCTGTATTCATTCATTTACCAATCAGAAGAGCTTCTGAATACAAAAGCATTTTGTGTGGTTGCACAGACGCAGATGAAGTATTTTACTCCTGGCTCCCTAAAAGCATTTTCAAATCAAGAGTCTCCTTTGAAAGTGCTTTTTATTTCAGGAGTGCTTAGGCTTAATCTAGGTTTCGTGCAAGATGCTCAACTACCCCTTAGTGGTTGAGATAAAGAAGCATTAGACAGATGCTTAACATAACAGACCTGGACCAGCGTCTCAGAGTAGGAGTGCTGATCTAGGAACAGTTTAGCCTTTTAGATCATAATAAATAAGATTGCATGGACAGAGGGGACCTGATCCTAGACCAGCACACTTCATCTGAGATACTACATGAATACGGGTCCAGGACGAATTCCTGAAGAATTTTGAGATTTCTGACATCACTGACTAACCCTGCTTTATAATTCTAGGATTGACCCCGTTGTTCTGTTCTGTTCTGTTTCCATGGCATCTCAGGTTCTCATGGCGACGGAACGGGAAGTTCTTCAACACGGGGAAGGATCCACGGGTGACGATGCGGAAGCGCTCAGGAACGCTGGAGATCAGCTTCCGTAGCGGAGGGAGGCCAGAGGACTACGAGGGAGAATACCAGTGTTTTGCCTCCAACGACTTTGGAACGGCGCTGACCAACAAGATCCTACTACGAGTGTCCAGTGAGGAGACTGTTTATATGCACACATACACGCGCACTCACACACACAAACACACACACACACGCACACACACACACACACACACACACACACACACGCACGCACGCACACACACACACACACACACACACACACACACACACACACACACACACACACACACACACACACACACACACACACACATTGATAGACACAAAGATGTGCATGGACACAAAAAATCAATAGGCTACATTCTGAAATGTTTGCAAGTGAATATGACTTGTAATAAGTATCTAAGACTCTCTCTCTCTCTCTCTCTCTCTCTCTCTCTCTCTCTCTCTCTCTCTCTCTCTCTAACTCTCTCTCTCTCTCTCTCCCTCTGTCAGAGTCTCCTCTGTGGCCTAAGGAGGTGTTGGAGCCAGTGGTAGTGGTTGAGGGATCTCCCCTGGTCCTGGCCTGTAACCCACCTCCTGGCCTGCCCCCTCCGCACACCTTCTGGATGAACAGCGGTGAGTCTAGCTCTCTGTCTGACTCTCTGTCTCTCTCTCCCCCTCTCTATCTATCTATCTATCATATCGGTCTATCACTATCGATCTATCTACGATCTTCTATCTATCTATCTATCTACTACTAGCTACGTCTATCTATCTATCTATTATCTATCGATCTATCTATCTATCTATCTATCTATCTATCTATCTATCTATCTATCTATCTATACTATCTTATCTATATCTATCTATCTATCTATCATCTTACTGTCTGTCTTTGTCTGTCGTATGTCTGTCTGTCGTCTCTGACTTTCTGATCTAGTGTCTATCTGACTATCTATCTATGTATCTCTCTCTCATCTATCTCTCTCATTCTTCTCTCTCTTCTCCTTCTTCTTCTCTTCTGTCTGTCTGTGTCTGTCTGTCTGTTCTGTCTGTGTCTGTCTGTTGTCTGTTGTCTGTCTCTGACTCTCTGTGTCTATCTGACTCTCTCTCTCATCTCTCTCTCTCTCTCTCTCTCTCTCTCCCCTCTCTCCTCTCTCTCTCTCTCTCTGTCTTGTCTCTGTCTCTGGTCTCTGTCTCTGTCTCTATCGTCTCTCTATGTCTATGTCTCTCTCTGTCTATCTTTCTCTCACTCTCTCTGACAGTGTCTCTCTATTTCTCTCTCTGGCTGACTCTCTGTCTGTGTACCTCTCTATGCCAGTCGTTTGTCCTCTCAGATGACCTTTCAGCGCTTCTGTTTTGTCACTTGCTCTTTTAGCTCTCTCTCTCGTTCCTGTCTGTCTGTCTGTCTCTCTCTTTCCTGTCTAGAAACCTTTAACACATTTCACTCTCAAGCCTCTCTCTCTCTCTATCTCGCTTCCTCTCTCGCTCTCTCTCTCTCTCTCTTCTATCTCTCTCTCTCTCTCTTCTCTCTTCTCTCTCTCTCTGTGTCTCTGTCATCTTCGCTAGCGGTGTGTGTTACTGCTGACCCACTGAAAATATGTCTGTGTGTCTGTGCATGCGCGTTTGAATCTCTGACTCGGCTGGGTAAAGAGCTGAGAGGGCAGAACCCAAGAGACAGCAGAAGCCATTTTAAGCGCCCAGACTCAAGAGGTCCTTCACAGCTAATGGTGTCCACTATACTCTCATCAGCCATTCAGTTCAGTTCAGTTCAGTGTCTCAAATGGCACCCTAATGCCTATATAACGCACTACTTTTGACCAGGGCACATAGGGCTCTGATTGAAAGTAGTGCACTATGTAGGGAAAAGCACACCATTTGGGATGCAGATTTCATCTTTATTAAACATGCTGAGCATTAGCAATTGGGCCACTATAAACAGAATACATACAGTTGATTAGAAAATACAGTGATCATAGTATTATAGCACATTGCCCATTCACAATTGCACACCACCACTACATTAGACCACTGGCTGGGTGATGATTGGACCTCGGGCCTCGTCATGACAACCAGATTGGTCCGTTCACTCTTCATGGTTACCGAGTGTGTGATCATCTGTCGGGAGCGTCTGTGTGTGTTAGGAGTTAACATTAACACAGAGCCCCAGAGCGACAAGTCCCAGTGCTACATCATCACAGAGGATGACACACACACCACTAGACTACACTAGACCTGAGCTAGCTGGCACCATAGATATAGAACCCTAGATAGGATATATTGTCTATGGCTGGCACCACTGGCTGCAACTGTGTCCAGATACTGCTTGAGAGGACAGACATGGTACTCTATTACATGTTACATACACTCAGCCTGGGCCAGTCTAGATAGAAGGTTAAGCCAATGAGACCAGATTACAGTTAGATGCAGGCTACTCAGCTTGGCCAGTCCAGTGGATGCCTCTGAAATTAGATCATGTTATGGTTGATTATGAAGCATGAAGTCTAAATGATTTAGTATCTGTCTCTCTCCCTCCCTCCCTCCCTCCCTCCCTCCCTCCCTCCCTCCCTCCCTCCCTCCCTCCCTCCCTCCCTCCCTCCCTCCCTCCCTCCCTCCCTCCCTCCACAGCCATGATGCCTATAACCCAGGACAGGCGTGTGTCCATGGGTCTGAATGGAGACCTGTATTTCTCTAATGTGCTGGCTAAAGACTCCCACACAGACTACAGCTGCAACGCCCGCTTCCTCTTCACACACACTATCCAGCAGAAGAACCCCTTCACACTCAAAGTGCAGACCAGTAAGTAGGCTACACACGCACACATACGTGCGTGCACGCAGACGCACACACAGACGTACACACGAACACACACACACACACACACACACACACACACACACACACACACACACACACACACACACACACACACACACACACATACACACACACATAGGCTTTGAATGTAGCCATGGTCTATTGTTCTGTTCAAATGGGATCATTTACTACCTGGTCAACCAGTGTGCCTCACATTATACACTTAGTGTAGACAGTACACTGACCAGGTAAAAGCTATGATCCCTTATTGATGTCACTTGTTAAATCCACTTCAATCAGTGTAGATGAAGGGGAGAAGACATGGATTGTGTATGTGTGCCATTCAGAGGGAGAATGAGCAAGACAAAAGATTGAAGTGCCTTTGAACGGAGTATGGTAGTTTTTCACGCTCAACAGTTTCCCGTGTGTATCAAAAATGGTCCACCACCCAAAGAATATCCAGCCAACTTGACAGAACTGTGGGAAGCATTGGAGTCAACATGGGCCAGTATCCCTGTGGAAACTTTCGACACCTTGTAGAGTCCATGCTCCGAAGAATTGAGGCTGTTCTGAGGGCAAAAGGGGCTGCAATTCAATATTAGGAAGGTATAATCCCCTGTAGCTCAGTTGGTAGAGCATGGCGCTTGCTACGCCAGGGTTGTGGGTTCGTTTCCCATGGTGGGCCAGTATGAAAATGTATGCACTCACTAACTGTAAGTTACTCTGGATAAGAGCGTCTGCTAAAATGTAAAATAAATGTATTCCTAATGTTTTGTACACTCAGTGTATATGAGATATGAGATGCCTCCATCTACAGGTGGCCTGGTGCCATGACACGTACAATATTTCGTCAGGACATTCTCCTTTGTTCCTCAGTGTGTGCTGTTGTGCCTGTGTTCACTTCCAGCACTGATTGTCTTCTACGTTTCCTGGAAGCTGCTTTCTTTACAGTTTATATTAAAGTTGATATCTCTCTTTTTCTGAAGCAGGGAAGAAAGCAGCTCGCCAGTTTCTACTATTTTCTTAGAGCTGGAAAGGTTATGTTGTTGTGAGTGTTGGCATGCATGCATGTGCATACGCGTGTGTCTTTGTGAGTTCTGCATGCTGACTGCCGTGTGTGTGTTTTCAGAGGAGCCGTTTAATGACACTTCCTCTGTCAACTCCACTGACCCGTATGGTGGTGAGTCCAGTCCAGACACACTCTCTTCCTTTTCCTCCCACTCTTCACCCCCAGCAGTACCATGTCACCCTCATAACACAGCTACCACCGTAGCCTAGCCTGCTAATGCTAACCAGTCAGTTGAATGACTCTGTTATCAACACAGCTAGCGCCGTATAGCCTAGCTGGTTAATCATTCAGCTCAATGGATGTCTTAACAGCACAGCTAGCTAACACAGCTAGCCATGTAGCCTGCTAATCAGTCAGCTCAATGGATATGCTAACAACATAGCTAGCTAACACAGCTAACAACACAGCCTAGCCTCAATGGATTTTCTTTCAATGCTGTTAACAACATTTTCCCCAGACTGATATAGCTTTTTTTTATAGCAAGCACCTTTAACCTCAACCCTGGCCTGATACCCAGCCAGCTCAGCCTTACTAAACTCAATTGAATTCAAGTGTGGGGTGTTTTATTTACCCACCCTGCTGTTTTCAATGACACTCACCCTGACCAAGACCTCTCACTGCCAGAATACAACAGTGTTGATTTGCCCATAAGGTCCTTTATCCTAGCATAACCTTCGAATTCTATCTTCAGCTGACTCATTGCATATGCAGTAACTCAGCAGCTGTACAGACAAAAGGCCAGTTTGTCCCTTAACTCAACCAATGTCAAGCCTGACTTTAGAGCACCTCCAAACTAAATCAGTGGTGACAGTAGAGCTTTGTGGAATCTTCCTGTGGTACTCTAGAGGCTAGCACTCCACAAAGGGGTTAGAAAGGTCTCCTCTTCCCAAAAGACATCCTCTTGGTCTCTCTATCACATAAGAACACCCTCTCAAAACAGACACACACACATATGCATATACACACACACACAAACACACACACACACACACACACACACACACACACGCCACCGCTGTATCTAATGAATCGCCCATCACTTAGAGAATTGGACTGAGTAAAGCTTCTTCTCCTCTCCTACTGCTTATCATAAAGCCCTTAACTCAAGCCAGTTCCACAGTCAGCCCATATAGCCAGAGGGGGAACCAGTGGCATATGTTCTAGCTACTCTGGCCCTAGGGAGTAGGCCCGGGAGGGACGGCATGTGTACCTTTGTGAGGCGACTCTCATAGGAACAAAATGGGGACAGACCCCATAACCCCCTATGGGACGGTCATGTGGCGGAGGTATAAAATAGGGATTATCCTAAACCATGCATACAAAAAATAGCATTTCTATTCATGATATGTTCATCAATAGTTATAAGCATGCAAATGCAAATGTACACACATGCACATTCACACACAGAGAGAGGATGGGAGTGGGTTGGAGCTGCACCACCTGTCTCTCTTACACACACACACACACACACACACACACACACATACACACACACACACACACACACACACACACAGTGGTAGTAAGCTTATCCCTAGTGGCTAGGCCAAGTTTTCCTCTCGGGATGGCAGTGCACCATGGGAGGCTCCCCCTCAAGCAGCGCCATTGGCTACACGTTACCATGGCTGCACATTGCCACGGCTATAATGTCACTTGTCGCAGTGATGGCGTACATATGTCCTCTGCCAGTTGTCTGTACTAATCCCTGAGACCCTCTCTCCTCTTCAAGTGTCACTAACAATAGCACTACCACACTCTGTTTTCAGTGCACTGGAGATGCTAGCCGCTAACACATGTTTTAATCCCATACAGATCAGATCTGCATCACAAAAGAAGCTAACGCTAATTGTGCCTGGTTCATTATAGCACCATTACATTTAGGCTAGTTCTGTTTACTGTGGGCTAACCTTCTAATTTACTCAACCTAATGTATTTAGTGTTTGATAACACTGACTATTGGCATATATGTTTTAATGTGTTTACTGTTTGATGAAATGCTGTATTTATATGTGTATGAGTGTGAGTTATGAGATGGTGGGTAAGTATAATATATAGTAAATCTATAATTAATTTAAATGGATCTGATGTGGATTTTGGTGAAGTGCAATGCAACAAGCAGTTAAGCAGCTCACAGCCACACGTGTGGTACTATTCCCACTGATCTATGTGTAAACACAACATGCCTCACACAACATTTATGCTACATTATCTTTAAGAGTATAAATCCCTTAATGACCAAACTATCAATCCGACTCAGAGCTCAGAAGGTCTTGGAAGGGATCCAAACGTTGAAGGGATTTAACATCAGCTAAATCCATAAGCCATGCGCTGGTGTTATTACATGAAGCACGCCACTGAAATATCTGAACTCAGTGGCCCGGAATACAGTGAGGGAAAAAAGTATTTGATCCCCTGCTGATTTTGTACGTTTGCCCACTGACAAAGACATGATCAGTCTATAATTTTAATGGTAGGTTTATTTGAACAGTGAGAGACAGAATAACAACAAAAAAATCCAGAAAAACGCATGTCAAAAATGTTATAAATTGATTTGCATTTCAATGGCAGAAATAAGTATTTGACCCCTCTGCAAAACATAACTTAGTACTTGGTGGCAAAACCCTTGTTGGCAATCACAGAGGTCAGACGTTTCTTGTAGTTGGCCACCAGGTTTGCACACATCTCAGGAGGGATTTTGTCCCACTCCTCTTTGCAGATCTTCTCCAAGTCATTAAGGTTTTGAGGCTGACGTTTGGCAACTCGAACCTTCAGCTCCCTCCACAGATTTTCTATGGGATTAAGGTCTGGAGACTGGCTAGGCCACTCCAGGACTTTAATGTGCCTCTTTTGAGCCACTCCTTTTTTGCCTTGGCCATGTGTTTTGGGTCATTGTCATGCTGGAATACCCATCCACGACCCATTTTCAATGCCCTGGCTGAGGGAAGGAGGTTCTCACCCAAGATTTGACGGTACATGGCCCCATCCATCGTCCCTTTGATGCGGTGAAGTTGTCCTGTCCCCTTAGCAGAAAAACACCCCCAAAGCATAATGTTTCCACCTCCATGTTTGACGGTGGGGTTGGTGTTCTTGGGGTCATAGGCAGCATTCTTCCTCCTCCAAATACGGTGAGTTGAGTTGATGCCAAAGAGCTCGATTTTGGTCTTATCTGACCACAACACTTTCACCCAGTTCTCCTCTGAATCATTCAGATGTTCATTGGCAAACTTCAGACGGGCCTGTATATGTGCTTTCTTGAGCAGGGGGACCTTGCGGGCGCTGCAGGATTTCAGTCCTTCACAGCATAGTGTGTTACCAATTGTTTTCTTGGTGACTATGGTCCCAGCTGCTTTGAGATCATTGACAAGATCCACCCGTGTAGTTCTGGGCTGATTCCTTCACCGTTCTCATGATCATTGCAACTCCACGAGGTGAGATCTTGCATGGAGCCCCAGGCCGAGGGAGATTGACAGTTATTTTGTGTTTCTTCCATATGCGAATAATCGCACCAACTGTTGTCACCTTCTCACCAAGCTGCTTGGCGATGGTCTTGTAGCCCATTCCAGCCTTGTGTAGGTCTACAATCTTGTCTCTGACATCCTTGGAGAGGTCTTTGGTCTTGGCCATGGTGGAGAGTTTGGAATCTGATTGATTGATTGCTTCTGTGGACAGGTGTCTTTTATACAGGTAACAAGCTGATATTAGGAGCACTCCCTTTGAGAGTGTGCTCCTAATCTCAGCTCGTTACCTGTTTAAAAGACACCTGGGAGCCAGAAATCTTTCTGATTGAGAGGGGGTCAAATACTTATTTCCCTCACTAAATGCAAATCAATTTATAACATTTTTGACATGCTTTTTTCTGGATTTTTTTGTTGTTATTCTGTCTCTCACTGTTCAAATAAACCTACCATTAAAATTATAGACTGATCATGTCTTTGTCAGTGGGCAAACGTACAAAATCAGCAGGGGATCAAATACTTTTTTCCCTCACTGTATGCTCTTTTAATTAGATCAAAGGATTTCCTTCGAAGCAGAGAAGAAAAGGGAAAAATAAATAATATGTTTCATCACGCCTGGTTTTGACGTCAGTCAGTCTTTTTTTATTTAGAGTCTCTGGTCTCGGTTCTCTTAATTGTGATTCTCTGGCGGACTGAAAGTGGGAGATCAATGTTTATTTTTTTTCTTCTCTGGTTTAAATGGCTGCCCTCCAGGGGGGATGAGAGACAAAGGAACAGTTAACAGGGTGATATGGCTACGGAACAAACTGGAAAACAAGCCAAAGCTAAGGGGGGCGACTTAAAGAGAACGATGAGAACATTCTACGGATGTAGATTAAACGTTTCATCCGTTTGCTTGGCAGAGACACTGACATGGAAGCATGAAAATAATAAACCGATTAGTTTGTGCTCTGTCTCATTTCGTTATAAGGGGCTTGTACACCTACGGTGTCGGAAGTGACTCATGGATTAAACATGAACTCCAATGATTGTGTTTGATTAGAATTAGGATGAAGGTGAATGTATTGTGTGGGTGTGACCATAGTTGTGTGTGTGTTAACCCCTTCCTCTCCTGTCCCCAGGTCGTAAGGTAGCAGAGACCACCCCTAACTTCCTCTCCCCCACGGGGACTGACAGCTCGAGGATGGTGATGAGAGGAGAAAAGCTACAGCTGGAGTGTATCGCGTCCGGAGTGTGAGTGGCGGAAATACACACACACACACACACTATCTTTTTTTCTGGGAAAAGAACACCCAATCTCACTCCCACCTCTCCCATCCCACCCCCTATTCCCTCTCCCATCTCACCCACTCTTTCCCTCTCAGTCCGACTCCCAGTATAAAGTGGTTTAAGAAGGGGGGAGACCTGAACCAGAAGGTGAAGCTAGAAAACTTCAATAAGACTCTGCGTATCGACAGTGTGTCAGAGGAGGACGCAGGGGAGTACATGTGTATGGCCAACAATCAGATAGGAAGCATCCGACACTCCATCTATGTCCAGGTTAAAGGTAAGGAGGGGAGGGGTGTGTGTGTGTGCATGCATGTGTGTCCCCGTGTGTGTGTGCATGTGTTTGGCGTGCGTGCGTGTTAATCTGTTTGGTTGACCATCTGACCAATGACATCTCTTGTACCCAACAGCGGCTCCCTATTGGCTGGACAAGCCTTCCAATCTGGTGCTAGCGCCGGATGAGAATGGTCGTCTCGTGTGTCGGGCCAATGGGAACCCCAAACCTCACATCCAGTGGCTGGTCAACGGAGAGCCTATCGAGAGCGATAGTGAGTCCTTCACAACCCATTCAATATCATTCATCAGCCATGGACATGATATCAAAATAAGCCAACTCAAACCAACTGCTTCCACAGCCAGCCTGTTTTTACATTTCTCTGTCTCTCTTTTCTCCCCCTTTCCCAGGCTCCTTGCCCAACCCCAGCAGATCGGTGGTAGGTGACACCATCATGTTCCGCTCCGTTCAGATGGGCAGCAGCGCTGTGTACCAGTGTAATGCCTCCAATGACCATGGTTACCTGCTGGCCAATGCATTTGTTAGCATACTGGGTAAGAAAGAGAGTGGTGATGATGAATATGATGATGAGTGATGAAGCTATAATTAAATAGGACTAAATATGTAAACTAATTATGTCTCTCTCTCTCTCTCCCCCTCTCTCTCTGTAGACATGGCCCCCAGGATGCTGGGTTCTAAGAACCAGCTAATAAAGGTGATAGAGAACAACAGAACCTTCCTGGACTGTCCCTATTTTGGCTCGCCACTTCCTGAGCTACGCTGGTGAGTTTAGTTTACTTTATTAGGTTCTCCATTAGCTGTAGTGCAACAGCTACTCTTCCTGTGGTCCACACAAAACAAAATGCACACGCTAGTGTGTATGGAAAGATAGACCCAGATAGAATAGATACCTTACCTCCTGAGGAGAAATGAGTGCAAAAAGTTTAAAAGTTGTGTGTGTGTGGGTACGTGTGGATGTGCGTGTGTGTGTGTGTGTCAGTGGTTGGAACCAAAATTATTTTCCAATCGTTTCGTTCTGAACAGAAGCACAATTTTTTTTTTCATTCCGCTCTTCTGACCAGCAAAATAAAGTTCTCAACTGGTTCGAACCAAAAAAAAGTACTGGTTTATATTGTTCCTTTCTGTTCCTTTTTAACATGTGAAATCAACCGTTTTTTACATTTAGCTCATTCAATTAATCAATCAGCGTGGATAGAGCAGGCAAGCTAGTTGTTTACATACGTGATGGAGAGACAAGTGTAGCGTAGCCTATGGCGCAAGATGTGACTGAAATTTTATGGGCAGGAAGAGAGCGAGAGGGTTGAGGAGCAGGCTTGAAGCGCTAGGCATCTTGTTAAGACATTCATTATCTGAATTAGGTCCACAGAATTATACCTAGGAGCGGCTTCTATGAAGGAACTTTGAATGTACTTTGAGCTAGCTAGCTAACAAGCTTGAAAACACGTCTTTAAAAACACGTATTTTATTTTTGTAGTTAATAAATCCAATGTGAAACGTGATAACTAGGCCTATAATATCCTTAACTAGCATTGAAAAAGTGAATCCATTCTTCTCTAGCTAATTAAAAATCTCTCTCCCTATCTTCTCACACTTCTAACATCAGTATAGTAGCCTGTCCTTCGGAAGGGGGGAGGTGCAGGTAGCCTAAACACACACATGCGCACACACACTGGCAAAGATTTTCAGCTTACAGGCAGATGCTGCAATAAGTTTCTGAGTGACAGAGTGAGGGCTTTGCACAGGAGCATTGTTGCGTTTTTTTGTGGGACTAGAAAAAAATGCCTGCAACGTAAAATGTAAAATAACGTTATTAACCAGTTTCCATGCTTTTAAAAGAATGGTTCTGTTCTGGGAACAGTATGGATCACTTTCGTTCCCGGTTCCGTTTCTTACCCTGAGTATTTTCCCCCTCTGTGTGTGTGTCTCTAAAGGTTTAAGAATGGTCAAGGCAGTGGTCTGGACGGTGGTCACTATCGGGTCTACATCAACGGGACCCTAGAGATCAAGCGTGCGCGGGCTGAGGACCAGGGGACCTACACCTGCGTGGCCAGCAACATACTGGGCAAGGAGGAGAACCAGGTCCGCCTGGAGGTCAAAGGTTAGAGAGCAACCAATCACAGCACACCATCATTCTTCTTCTTCCTCAGTGCCAAATAGCCCCTGTGTTGTCGCCAAACATTTCTAAGTGCCTTATCAACAACCCCATGTGGTTTTGGATTGAATCTTCCATCCTCTCTGAAGACTTGTATCACACCTCAGACCTTTCCTTTCTCAGAGCAGACAACATTACTTAGAGATTCGCATTAGACATTCATATTCTGTAGTGTATTTATCATTCTCATTCATCCCATTTCAAAATAAAGTGGCCTTAATAACATCTCATATCATGAGAAAGTGACTGTTCATATGATTGAGTTGCAGCTGATCGGAAATTCCACAAGGCGTTTGTCAGGGATCAGGGATGACATTGGCTTCCCTATATATCCCACTCATTTTCCCGGATATGCATGCGTGTGTGTTGTTTCCCGGGTGTGTTTCAGAGCCGACACGTATCGTCAGGGCTCCAGAGCACCAGTCAGCAATCAGAGGCACCATGGCTCGTTTTGACTGCCGGGTCAAATCAGACCTCACCCTGCCTATCACTGTTACCTGGCTGAAGGATGACAAGCCCCTCTCCCTGGGATGGAGGTAAAACCCATCCCAAAACACAAACAACAACAGTTTTCTATAACTTTGTTGTCCCCTGTGTGAAGTGTGATGCATTGTTTACTATTGATCAATAGTAAGGTAAAGATAAAGTGTAATAATGTTGTAATAATGTTGTAATAAGTGGTATAGTAAACACCGTTCACGCACCTGTTTTATTTTTCATGAGCGTTTACCTATGGAAGAAAAAATACAGAAAAAATATAGGGAGCCTTACCTTATTCACTACAAATGGTGATTAGTGTTTACCTACCTATTTTGTTAGCACTGAATCATTGGCTGTAATAGTTAATCATTTACAATAGTTCAAGTACAGTAATATTTTCCCTCCCTTGTCTATGTACTGTAGGTTGAAGAAGGATGAGGATTCTCTGTCCATCCCCAATGTTCATGAGGGAGATGAGGGAACATACACCTGCACTGTTAAAACAGAGATTGACCAAGACACTGCCTCAGCACGCCTTACTGTGTTAGGTACACACACACACACACACACACACACACACACACACACACACACACACACACACACACACACTCACACACACACACACACACAAACACTCTCGCCCTACAAAACCCAGCTACAGAAACCGACAGTCTTCCACATGGATGTGAAAATATTCTACTTTCATTCAACAAATCATCTTCTCATCAACCCACATCTTCTTAACATTGTTGATAGCCCTGCATAGATAACACTATAATACATGAATGTGACTTGAAATTGTTGCATGTTCAAATGTCACTGAATTTACTCTCACTATTGACTACTATCAGACTGCTGCTACTAATAGTTGTATGTAGGCCATCAGCATTGGTGGTGGATCGTACTGCATGTGTTTCCTGGTCATGTAGTTGTAGTGCTCCAGCGTGAAATGTAGGATCAGTCTCCCCTCCTCCAATTCTATCCTTAACCACTAGTGGGGAAAATGCTAAACTGACCGAAGATCAGAGTCTAGGGGCAACTTCACCCTACACCAGTTGTAGTACTGTAGTGGATGGGGTTCCTCCACTGTACTAATGCTCTGACTAACCTCTAACCTTTAACCTCTGACCTTTACCCCCCCCCCCCCCCCCCCCGCCCCCTCACAGAGGACGCCTCCCTGTCTCCCTCACAGTCTAGTGTCTTGCCTGCAGGTAACATCCGTGGCCTTTTCTATCTCTCTCTCTCTCTCTCTCTCTCTCTCTCTCTCTCTCTCTCTCTCTCTCTCTCTCTCTCTCTCTCTCTCTCACTCTCTCTCACTCTCTCACTCTTTCTCTCTCTCTCTCACTCTCTCTTTCTCTCTCTCTCTCTCTCTCGCTCTCTCTCTTTCTCTCTCTCTCTGTTTCTGTCTTTCTAACTTTTTCTCTCTCTCTTCACTCTAATAAGAATAACAGTGGTTAGTTTGGATGCTTCCTCATGCCAAAGTAATGAATGCAGTGTGTAAGAGTATAAGTATGCCTATAACTGAGAGCTGTATGTATATGCACGTGTGTGTGTGCGTGCATATACGTGTGTGTGCGTATCGGTGTGTTCGGGTGCGTGTGTGCGGATGTGTGTGTCTGTGCACGCATATGCACGACCTGGTGTGTGTGTGTCAGTATGTGTGCATGCGTGCGTGCATGAGAGTGTGTGTGTGTGTGTGTGTGTGTGTGTGTGTGAATGTGTGTACCACCTAACCCCATGGCCCTTCTGTGTGTAGACCGTCCTGACTCTCCCATAGACCTGGAGGTGTCTGACCCTGCAGAACGCAGCGTACGACTCACCTGGATACCTGGAGATGACCACAACAGCCCCGTCACACGTAAATACACACGCACGCGTGCACACTTCACATACAGTAACAGCACACGCAAATACACTCTCTCGCTCTCTCTCTCTCGTTCATACACACACACACACACACACACACACACACATACACATAGGAACAGCACACGTAAATACACACACTCTCTCTCTCTCTCTCATTCATACACACACACACAAAACTACTCCCCAGTGTAACCCCAATACATACGTTCAACCGTTCCATGGCTTTTCACACCTCTTCCTAACCCCACCTCCCCCCCACCCTCTCTTCCCTGCAGAGTTCCTGGTTCAGTTTGAGGAAGACCGTTGGGAATCAGGCAAGTGGCAGAACCTGTCTAGTTACCCCGGAGACCTCAACTCTGTCATCCTGCAGCTCTCTCCTTTCGTCAACTACCAGTTCAGAGTCATCGCTGTCAATTCTGTGGGCCAGAGCCGCCCCAGCCACCCCTCGCCACGATACCAGACCAGCGGAGCCCGTGAGTCAGACACCGGGAGGGAGAGAGGGGCTGGATGGGGGTAGGGATAGGGGGTGTTAGGAGGATGTTGGGCCAGACCCTCACCACAATATTAGTGGAGGATAATAGAGGGAACAGGGGAGGGTGAAGGGAGGGCAGGTGGGGGTGTCTTAGTCAGGAGTTCTGTTTATTATATTACAGCCAGAGAGATTACATTTGTCCTCTGTGTTCCTGTGTGTTTCAGCTCCTGATGCTATCCCTAGTGGCCTGAAAGGCTGGGGCACCAAGAAGAACAACATGGAGATTAGCTGGGAGGTGAGAGACCGAGAGAGGGTCATAACAGGGACTGATGTCACGGTTTCGCCCTTTACCCTTAATGAACAGCCGTGATACCCTCAATGGCAAGGTTGTTTCAGCCAGTAAAAACTACACTAATGTGTTTGTCTTTTTGTGCTTTCCAGCCCTTGTTGGACACAGAGCGAAACGGCCCTAACCTGCGCTACTCGGTGGGGTGGCGGCGGAAGGATATTGGGGAGGAGTGGAGTAATGTGACTACGGTGGGGGCGAAGCACATTGTCCACGACACAGAGACCTACGTTCCCTATGAGATCAAACTGCAGGCTGTGAATGACTTTGGACTGGGACCTGAGTCCAACATCATCATAGGATACTCTGGGGAGGACAGTACGTACACACACAAACCTACATACACATGAAGCAATGTTTCTTTACTATTCATAATATTTTTTGTAACTAGCAAATGTTTTCTCTCTCTCTCTCTCTCTCTCTCTCTCTCTCTCTCTCTCTCTCTCTCTCTCTCTCTCTCTCTCTCTCTCTCTCTCTCTGTCTGTCTCTCGCTCACACACACACACACACACACACACACTCGTTCACTCGTCATGCTGGTGATCTCCTACCTGTGTCTACCTCCAGAGCCCACAGCCCCTCCCACTGACCTGCGAGTGTCTAAGATTGACAGCACCAAGGTCAATGTCCACTGGACCCCGGTAGATCCCAGCACTGTATTGGGAGAGTTCAAGGAGTACAGGGTGAGAACTGGAGCCCACTGCACACACACTACACTCCACACACACACACACACACACACACAACCATGACACACGTGGGCACAGACACAGGCAAACACAGACACACACACACAGACACACATGTGTACAGAGACAGACAGACATACACACACACACAACACACGTGGGCACAGATAGACAGACAGACACACACACATACGCAAGCAAACAAACAACACACACACACACACCATGTGTTTCTACCACCCCGTGATGACAGTGTGTGTGGCCCTCTCTTTCAGCTGTACTACTGGCGTGAGGGCAGCATGGTGAAGGGTCTGCGTGTGAATAAAGAGAAGAGGACTAAAGGGTTCTACAGTACCGTGGCCCAGCCTACAGGCATACTGACAGACCTACAGCCATACAGCCACTACCGCATGTCCATGGTGGTCGCCAACAACCGCTACGAGGGACCGCCTAGCAACCTTGTGGAGTTCCATACCAAGGAAGGAGGTGAGACAGGGAGAGAGAAGGACAACTCCAACTATCATAGCGTGCATTTGACAAATGTATGTTTTTAACATTGTAACTCACTCTCTCTCCTACACCCACCAACTCTCTCCTTCTTTCTTTCTCTCTCTCCCTCTCTTTCTATCCCGTTCTCTCTTGATCTATCTCCCTCTGTCTCTCTCCCACTCTCCATCTCGCTTCCTTTCTATCCTCCCCTCTCTCTTTCCCTCTCTCTTTCCCTCTCTCTTTCCCTCTCTCTTTCCCTCTCTCTCCTGTGTGTGTAGTGCCAGACACTCCAAAGTTCTTTAAGATCATCCAGAGGAGTACAGACGCTATCCACCTGCAGTGGGACAAACCCCTGGAGCCAAACGGCATTCTGATTGGATACAAACTCAACTACCAGACAGGTGAGCCCTTCTGATTGGATACACACTCAAAAGATAGTGAGGTGAGCTCTTCTGATTGGATACATACTCAAAATACAATGAGGTGATCTCTTCTGATTGGATACACACTCAAAAGACAGTGAGGTGAGCTCTTCTGATTGGCTACACAGTCAAGTACCAGAAAGGTGAGCACTTCTGAATCTCAATCTCTGAAGCTGGAGACTCTTATCTCCCTCACTAACTTTAAGCATCAGTTGTCAGAGCACCTTACCGATCACTGCACCTGTACACAGCCCATCTGAAATTAGCCCACCCAACTACCTCATCCCCATATTGTTATTTATTTTGCTCATTTGCACCCCAGTATCTCTATTTGCACATCATCTCTTGCACATCTATCGTCCCAGTGTTAATACTAATTGTAATTATTTTGCACTATGGCCTATTTATTGCCTTACCTCCATAACTTGCTACATTTGCACACACTGTATATATATTTTCTGTTGTATTTTTGTCTTTATGTTTTGTTTTACCCCATATGTAACTCTGTGTTGTTGTTTTTATCGCACTGCTTTGCTTTATCTTGGCCAGGTCGCAGTTGTAAATGAGAACTTGTTCTCAACTGGCTTACCTGGTTAAATAAAGGTGAAATACAATAAAATAAACACAGTCAAATGACAGACAGGTTATCAGTTCAGCGGTATACACTGCACAAAAGGTCATTTTAATCTTATACAAATCTAAGCTCATATTAGAGATAACCTTATGACAAGAGATGATGTTATGACGATATGAACGTCACGATGATAGACAGTTTAGTGTTGTTACAGTAGCAGCATGACTGTCACCTGACCAGCTGACTGACTGTGTTGTCTTGTGTGTGTTTTGTAGTGAACGGGTCACGTGTAGGCCGTATGCAGATGGAGAGTTTCCTCCCCAACGTGACAGCGTACACACTCCGCCTGCCCGAACGAGCCATCCGCTACAAGTTCTACCTAGCGGCCCTCACACAGGTGGGAGCAGGGGAGGTCTATGCTGAGGAGTCTCCACACTTCACCAATGAGGGTAAGTCCACACTGCCTACACAGCACACACACACACACATACCCCACACACACACACACACACACATACCACACACACACACACACACACACACACACACACACACACACATCAATCCTTACTCATACACACATACAAACACATACATGCGCATGTGCACACACACACAAACACGCACACACACACACACACACACACACACACACACACATCAAATCCTTACTCATACACACACAAACTTCTCTTACTCACACACATACCATTCTTACACACACACACACACACTCAACTCTGACTTTTTAAGCTGTTACACACCAACACATGTTTCAGTTTACTTCAGGTAAGTGATGGAAGGCTGTTTTTTGATATGCAGTATGTCACCAGCTTGCATGGTCAAGTCTTTCCTGGGGCACGTGTTTGTTTTTCTTCTTCAGTAATGTAGTATGCTGGGTAATGTAGGATTAACGGGTTATTGTTGAGAAGACGTTGAACAGATAACCAGAACGTACAGTGGGGAAAAAAAGTATTTAGTCAGCCACCAATTGTGCAAGTTCTCCCACTTAAAAAGATGAGAGAGGCCTGTAATTTTCATCATAGGTACACGTCAACTATTACAGACAAATTGAGAAAAAAAATCCAGAAAATCACATTGTAGGATTTTTAATGAATTTATTTGCAAATTATGGTGGAAAATAAGTATTTGGTCACCTACAAACAAGCAAGATTTCTGGCTCTCACAGACCTGTAACTTCTTCTTTAAGAGGCTCCTCTGTCCTCCACTTGTTACCTGTATTAATGGCACCTGTTTGAACTTGTTATCAGTATAAAAGACACCTGTCCACAACCTCAAACAGTCACACTCCAAATTCCACTATGGCCAAGACCAAAGAGCTGTCAAAGGACACCAGAAACAAAATTGTAGACCTGCACCAGGCTGGGAAGACTGAATCTGCAATAGGTAACCAGCTTGGTTTGAAGAAATCAACTGTGGGAGCAATTATTAGGAAATGGAAGACATACAAGACCACTGATAATCTCCCTCGATCTAGGGCTCCACGCAAGATCTCACCCCGTGGGGTCAAAATGATCACAAGAACGGTGAGCAAAAATCCCAGAACCACACGGGGGGACCTAGTGAATGACCTGCAGAGATCTGGGACCAAAGTAACAAAGCCTACCATCAGTAACACACTACGCCGCCAGGGACTCAAATCCTGCAGTGCCAGACGTGTCCCCCTGCTTAAGCCAGTACATGTCCAGGCCCGTCTGAAGTTTGCTAGAGTGCATTTGGATGATCCAGAAGAGGATTGGGAGAATGTCATATGGTCAGATGAAACCAAAATATAACTTTTTGGTAAAAACTCAACTCGTCGTGTTTGGAGGACAAAGAATGCTGAGTTGCATCCAAAGAACACATTTTTTTTTACATTTTTAGTCATTTAGCAGACGCTCTTATCCAGAGCGACTTACAGTTAGCGCATACATTATTTTATCGAACCCACAACCCTGGCGTTTGCAAACGCCATGCTCTACCAACTGAGCTACATCCCCTGCCGGCCATTCCCTCCCCTACCCTGGACGACGCTGGGCCAATTGTGCGCCGCCCCATGGGTCTCCCGGTCGCGGCCGGCTACGACAAAGCCTGGATTCGAACCAGGATCTCTAGTGGCACAGCTAGCACTGCGATGCAGTGCCTCAGACCACTGCGCCACTCGGGAAACACCATACCTACTGTGAAGCATGGGGGTGGAAACATCATGCTTTGGGGCTGTTTTTCTGCAAAGGGACCAGGACGACTGATCCGTGTAAAGGAAAGAATGAATGGGGCCATGTATCGTGAGATTTTGAGTGAAAACCTCCTTCCATCAGCAAGGGCATTGAAGATGAAACGTGGCTGGGTCTTTCAGCATGACAATGATCCCAAACACACCGCCCGGGCAACGAAGGAGTGGCTTCGTAAGAAGCATTTCAAGGTCCTGGAGTGGCCTAGCCAGTCTCCAGATCTCAACCCCATAGAAAATCTTTGGAGGGAGTTGAAAGTCCGTGTTGCCCAGCGACAGCCCCAAAACATCACTGCTCTAGAGGAGATCTGCATGGAGGAATGGGCCAAAATACCAGCAACAGTGTGTGAAAACCTTGTGAAGACTTACAGAAAACGTTTGACCTGTGTCATTGCCAACAAAGGGTATATAACAAAGTATTGAGAAACTTTTGTTATCGACCAAATACTTATTTTCCACCATAATTTGCAAATAAATTCATTATAAATCCTACAATGTGATTTTCTGGATTTTTCTTTCTCATTTTGTCTGTCATAGTTGACGTGTACCTATGATGAAAATTACAGGCCTCTCTCATCTTTTTAAGTGGGAGAACTTGCAGAATTGGTGGCTGACTAAATACTTTTTTCCCCCACTGTATGTATACAGATTCTTATTAATTCACTGTTTAGGATGACAAACTTCACAAAGACTGAATCAAGAAGTTAAACCATCTACACTATGTAGACACAGAAATAAATAAGGTGGTATTTTAAGTCTTAGTTCTGTGTGGGAACTAGGTTAGATGTTTGTTAGAGTTTCTGTGCAGCTGGTTGACACAGTAGAGTATGTTAAGTGAGGCCAACAGAAAAGGCCTGTAAATCTCAGTGACTCCAGCCTACTGCAGCTCTGCAGCAAACACATAAGTATATGTCCCACTGGCAGCCATTCAACATATACAACACATACACACTCATGCACACTGAGTGCAGTAGTGGTCAATGGGTTACGATGAGTACACAAACGTATACGCGCGCACATACACACACACACACTGGTGTTAGTAGCGATCAATGCAGAATCACCCAGTGTTCTCCTTCTTGGCGTGTCTCCTGTCTGACGTTGTGCTCTTTTGTCAGAATGTTCTCTTCCTCTCCTCGTTTCTCTCTCTTTGTCTCTCTTCCTCTCCTGTGGTTGACCTTCTGTAGTGTCTTTTAACGCTGTCTTTCTCTCTCCGCCTCTCAGATTCTCACTCTTGTTTTCCCTCCTCCACTTGCTGTCTCTCACCTGCCTCCCCCTCTTCTCTGTCTATCTCCCCCTCCCTCTCGCCTGTCTCCCCCTCCCTCTCGCCTGTCTCCACCTCCCTCTCGCCTGTCTCCCCCTCCCTCTCGCCTGTCTCCCCCTCCCTCTCGCCTGTCTCCCCCTCCCTCTCGCCTGTCTCCCCCTCCCTCTCGCCTGTCTCCACCTGGTTCCCCCTCCCTCTCGCCTGTCTCCCCCTCCCTCTCGCCTGTCTCCCCCCCTCTCGCCTGTCTCCCCCTCCCTCTCGCCTGTCTCCACCTCCCTGTCGCCTGTCTCCACCTGTCTCCCCCTCCCTCTCGCCTGTCTCCCCCTCCCTCTCGCCTGTCTCCACCTGTCTCCCCTTCCCTCTCGCCTGTCTCCCCCCCTCTCACCTGTCTCCCCTCCCTCTCACCTGTCTCCCCCCTCCTCTCTGTCTGTGTCTCTCCATGGGTGTTAACAGAAGACCTTTTCAGCTCAGGTACTGACCACTCAGGTGTAGGTAACGGGAAATGCATAGCCCGTCTGTCTGTCTGTCTGCTTGTCTGTCTACCTATTTTCTTTAATTCCTCTCCGACTCTGTCTCACTTCATTTTCCAGCAGTGGTGTCCAGTTGAAATTAGTGACCATGTCATCTTTACATTTCCTTAACACTTTCCTTAACACTTTGCCTCGTCATCATATGATCATATGATGACGAGGCAAAGTGTTAAGGAAATGTAAAGATGACATGGTCACTAATTTGAACTGGACACCACTGCTTTCTACCACCCCCTACTGATGACAATGGTACAAACCCAGACACCTTCTATCCTACAGAGAAACTACCCATAGAGGTTAAATAGGGGTGGACAAATTCTACGCCATAGCAAACGAACAAAACAAATGAGGGGTAACTTTGAGGTCTGTCATGGGTAAAACCCTGAGGGAAACGCCTTTTGAATATGTATGAGTTCTCGTCAAATCAATTATACATTAATTACTATTAGATATTTAAATCAGTAGATTCTAGATTGAATTAATAGAACAATTAGCGAGTGAGCAGCCATATTCAGGGCTGACATTGTCATCTGAAAATGTAACAGAGAGTTTAAACAGAGCGCTTTGGACTGTAACAAGAAAGTTATCTGTATTGGACTGAACAAACACTGGCTTCCTCTTTGCCAGCTGTACAGTATATCTGTCTGTCTGTCTATCTTGTCTGTCTTGTCTGTCTCTCTGTCTATATCTGTATCTGTCAGTGTATCTTTGCTTCACTCTGTGCTTTCAGGGATTGAACAAACCCACAGAACTCTCAGGGTCATATTTGACATTGATCATTGAAACCTACAGTATGTGGTCAGTTATAATTCTTATGCACACTGTTAAGGTAAAGGAATGAGTGTAGAAACAACTAACGTTACAGTCTCTGCTTCAACCTTTAGTTCTATTTGAGCCACTTTTATAACTTTTATAGCACTTGTATAACAGTTGCATATCCCGTTATATCCAAGAAGTGTGTAATTCGGCTGTACTGTAGTCCAGGTCAGGATCATCTGTAACGTAGTCGGTGTCAACTTCCTGCCATTTCTGAGGCCTGAACTTTGACCTGTCACCCAGCTCCAATCCCTGATAGCGCACCTTGCAACTTGAATCATGACAATTTCCTGTCTGTCACAAGCCTTGGATCTTGTGTACTGACTGAGTCGGCAAAGGGGTCGACCCTCATTACGTGGAATGCACTGTGGGGGGTTTGGGGGGGCAGGATGGGGGAGACTTGCTTACGTTTGTATGTGGAGATGGTAGCACATCTCCGGGGTGGGGATGGGGGATGATATCAAGCTTGCTCTCGCTTGAATGACTCTCCATCATCAAACGTTCTCTGCTGCTCATTCACATGCTTGCTCGCTCACTGCTGCTTGCGCTTCAGCTTTCAGAGTGTCACGCTTCCATCTCATCCATGTGTGTTTCTGTCACTGAGCTTGG